ACAACTGAATATACTGTAATGTACTGAATCATCCCTGTCCTTACCAATGTTTTGGCCATTGCTGACAAGAAAACATAATGACAGAACAAGGAAACCAAGTAATCCCCACTCCTTCCCCATGCTTGAGTTACCCGTTTCTGGAAAAAAAAAATACAACCAACGAGGTTGAAAGCTTCTGCACAGCTTGTATTACCAAACAGAATTGCAAACGCAATATGCATGTAAAAAATAAAGAAAAGAGACTGAGATCTTCCCATTTTCCCACTGATCTTTCCTGTTTTGTATGAAAAAGTGGTGCACGGATGGCCAAACGACAAAGCGTCGTCTAGCCGTGTGTCATCTGCAGCTCATTGATGCCAGAGTGGAGCGGAGACTGTCGCACATTGTTCACAGCGACTGGAGGGCCACGGTGCGATAAATCACCAGCAGCTACAACAGTGGTGACCAGGGCAATGTGTCACAGCACACAGTTCATTGCAGCCTTCTGCATATGGGCCTGCATAGCAGACCACTTAGCTGGATCCCCATGCTAACTGCACACTATAGCCAACACATTAAATAGGCTTGAGATAATCAAGATCGTCTCGTGGATGACAGGAAGAAAGTGGCCTGGAATCAAGATTCAGGCTGCATTACGTCGACGGCTGAGCGCAGATACGCCAAATACCAACAGAGGCTATGGCACCTGGATGCACTGCTGGGCAGCAAAGGCCGGTTATGATGTGGGCAATGTTTTCTTGGGACACTTTAGGTCCCATTATCCCAAAAGCACAATCCCTGACAGCTGTCAGGTATCTGAACATCGTTGTGGACCAAGTCCACTCATTCATGGCAGCTGTGTTCCCTTCTGGTGATGGCCATTACCAACAGGATAATGCAAAATGCCACACTACCAGAATTGTCAAGGAGTGGTTCAAGGAAGGAGTGGTTATAGTAAATATATATTTGTGCTGTCAATAAATTTAAAATTTTAATTGGATTAATCACACTCTTATCATGAAGTTACTTGCACACTTATCATGAAATTAAGCATATACCATTTATCTTGTTTGACAAGTTCATTTTGTCATTATTTGCCATATATATCCAGCAAAGTAAACCAACAGATTGAAGACTGATTCTTACAAAAATATTTTCTGCAAGCGTAGATACATTTAGACGTCTTTTCAAAAAAGGACCAAAGAACCAAGTGATATAAGAAGTTTATATACATTTATGCACACCAAAGCACACACTACAAAAAAAAATTCAGCGTACAGTAGACAACTCAAGTTGCAATAATGAACTGGACCACATGCAGATGTCAAAAAAGTCCCTCAACCAACCGCCTTGAGCTGATTGCTACATACTACTACAGTACACATATCCATTCAGAATGACTAAACACAGCAACATACACATAACAAATCAAAACATTACCCTGAAGGTGTAGAAACAAGGTGAATGTACAAAAATGTGTCTGTGCATAAATACAATGTATGATCTGTGCAGGGGCTTAGCCATCATTTGACAGAAATGTTGAATATAATAATACCTTTTTTTCCTTTTGTCTAATTCAGTGTTTCCCAACCTTTTTTTAGTCGCGGCACCCTTTGGAAATTTTAACAAACTTGTGGCACCCTACAAAATTAATTTTGTCACAATATTTGAATTTCTAACTTCGATATGATAATTTGAAAAGTATAGATATTCGGTACAGCAGGGAAGAACTGCAGAATATAATGTCATACAGATATTTTTAATATTAAAAATTGTCCATCAATGGTGGCAATCAGAAGGCTAATTTCTGATGAAGAGACCAATTTATATGACAGACTTTAATGTGGGCTCTTATTCATATGTAAACATTGTGAGATAGCTATAATGGTAATTAAACAAAGTGTTGCTCAGTCAGTGTATTTTTGATTTTACAGTGGGGTAATTTTGTTGCAGTAGCACGAGATAGCTTGATTTCAAACTTTGAATTGAATAAAAAATGACAAGAAAGCAGTCAGTAATAAAATAAGAACAAATAAACAAATTAATAATGATAGCACAAATAAAAAATAACGACAGGCCTTCAAATTAAATAAATAGCTTTTTAGTTTTTCAGGTAGGGCTAACAGTAGGGTTAAGATTTTTTTTTTATTTTT